CTGAACTATCCTTGAAAAATAACATTAGTGACACTACTCAGAAAAATCTAAGAGTTACTAGTTTATCAAATTCCTCGCTATCTGCGGAAATTGATAAAGTTAAAGACCTCTTGAACAAAGAACAAACTGTGTTAAAACTTTGGGCTAAATCTCACAAAAAATGCTAATTATGTTATTTCTGCTCAAATACCTCATTCATGTGAGAAAATCCTTGAAGGAAATTTTGCTGAAGCTGAAAAAGTTTTTAAATCTCAAGAAAAAGAATCTGAATTTTATTCCATGAATGAACTAAAAGATAGTTTCAAAAACAAATTTATCAGCAACACTTTTATTAATCAGAGTCTCATTGATGAATACTGTGTTACTGATTCTAATGGTGTTACTGAGTGTAATATTGAAATTACCGGAATTGATCCTACTTCTTACCCTGCACATCTTGAGAGACCAACTCCTATCACTAAAAATATTATCGCATTTCCTATCTCAAACGGAGTGTTTCATGCTGTTCATGAACAACTTAAACATTATCCTGATTGCAGTGCTTTAGTGCATAAGTCTAAATCTGATACTGATGTCAGCTCCTTATCCATCACTGATCATATTTTTCTAACATTGAATTTAGTTGCAATTTAATGTCAAACAAAAGAACTCAAAGTTCACTTGGTGAATCTTTCAAATCCAAATGTATTAAATCTAGAAATCTGCTCACCAAGAAAAACTTTGGTACTTGAGTTTGTTACAGATGTGGTGACACCTCTCACAAGATTAGTGAATGCAAGTTTGATAAAACATCGTTAAGAGCTGACAACATCAAAGTTAGAAATGAAATATGGACTCTTAAATCAAATTCTTTGAACTCTCTTCCTAAAGAGTGCTATAATATATTGTCAAATAACTTTGTGAATGACCCATCTTACAATGGGTCAGTGTGTTCTAACTAGTTTTTTCAGCACTGCAGGGTCAAGAGCATCTATGGTACTTAGACAGCGGTTGCTCAAGACATATGACAGGATCCAAGTCTCTCCTGGAAGACTATGTCAAGAAAATTGGTCCTGCAGTAACTTACGGAGACAATGGAAAGGGGTTTACTAAAGGATATGGGAACATCAAGTGCAATAATGTGGTGTTTCAGAATGTTTCATATGTAAAGGGTCTCAAAAACAATCTCATCTCAATCAGCCAATTGTGTGATGCTGATTATGAAGTTCATTTTACAAAGAAGGAAGGAAGAGTCATCAACACTGACAAGAACATTGTACTCTCAGCAAGTAGAAAAGATGATATATATGTTCTTGACATGTTCTCAAGTGATAAGGCACTAATGCAATGTTTCTTTACCAAGTCTCAAACCAATCTCAGCTGGATTTGGCACAAAAGGTTCTCTCATTTGAACTTTAAGAATCTATCTAAAATATCCAATGAAGATCTAGTTAGAGGTCTACCAAAACTCAGCTTTGTCAAAGACAAGATGTGCTCAGCGTGTGAACAAGGAAAGCAAACCAAGTCATCATTCAAACCTAAGTCATGTTCTAGCATATATGTTCCTCTTCATTTACTACACATGGACTTGTTTGGACCTAATCCTGTTCGTTCCCAAGGAGGAAATAAGTATACGCTTGTGGTTGTGGATGAGTTTACCCGATTTACGTGGGTGGATTTCCTGAAGAAGAAAGGTCAAGCTGCACAGGAAATTATCTCACTGATTCGACAAAACAAGATGCTGACTGGTCTCAAAGTTAAGCAGCTAAGGAGTGATCATGGCACTGAGTTCTGGAATTCGACTCTTGAAGACTTTTGTGATTTTAAAGGTATTGGGCAGTTGCTGAATGAAGAAATCGAACACTTATTGAGGCAAGAAGGACCTTAATGATTCATGTTGGTCTTCCTATGTCGTTTTGGGCTGAAGCTGTTAATACAGCATGTTATACTCAGAATCGCTCTCTAATTCACAGGGTTCACAAGAAGACACCATATGAGATGCTGAAAGGTCGAAAGTCGGACGTATCCTTCTTTCACATGTTTGGATGCATTTGTTATATTCTTAATTAGCGCGGCCCCAGATCAAAATTTGAGCCTAAGGATAACAAAGGTATTGTTATTAGATATTCATCTATTTCAGAGGCCTTTCGTGTTTTTCATGTGAATAGGCAATGCATTGAGGAATCCATTCATGTAAAGTTTGATGAAGAATCCTACACTGATGAAAAAGTAGCTCATTCCCCTTATATTTCTCAAGAGCTTCTCTCCTGTCCATCTGATGAAGTCTCAGATACTGAAGAAGAAACTGTCATTCCTGATCCCATCATTCCAGACCCAAGTCCTGTCAATCAAGGCACTGTAGTCAGCACGAAAACCTTTTTGTCAGATGCTGATGAAACCCTTGAATCTGAAGACTCTCCTGTAACTGATGCTCCTTTCATTGATAACTCTTCAGCGTCAAACTCATTTGAATCAGCTCCAGAACATCGAGATCACCCTGTTGATCAAATTATTGGAAATCTTCATGATGGTGTCTAAACCATATCTCGTGTATCTAATAATTTTTGCATGTATGTTAACTTTGTTTCAATGATCTTACCTGACAAGATACACTCAGCTCTTTAAGATGCTGTCTGGATTAAAGCCACGCAAGACGAGCTTAACGAGTTTGAAAGGCACAAGGTTTGGACTCTTGTTCCCAGATCATCAGGAAAGACCATCACCGGAACACGCTGGGTCTACCACAACAAGGTTGATAAAGAGGGTATTATTACTCGCAACAAAGCAAGAGTTGTTGCTCAGGGGTTCACTCAAATTGAATCTATTGACTACGGGGAGACTTTTGCTCCAGTTGCCCACATTGAAGCAATCAGATTGTTTCTCGCATATGCCTCATACATGAACTTCATTGTTTACCAAATGGATGTCAAAACAACATTTCTTCATGGTGTGTTAGAAGAAGAAGTATTTCTCAAACAGCCCCAGGCTTTGAAGACAAGAAGCACCCTGACTATGTGTACAGACTAGATAAAGTTGTATATGGACTAAAGCAAGCTCCTAGGGACTGGTATGAGACACTGACATCATCTCTTCTTGAAAATGGCTACATAAGAGGAGCAATTGATAATACTCTCTTCATCAAAAACAAAGGCTCAGAAATGATTCTTGTTCAAATCTATGTCGATGATATCATCTTTGGATCTCCAAATGAGAAGCTGAGCAAGGAATTCACTGAGATCATGTCTCAAAGGTTCGAGATGAGAATGATGGGGAAGATGACCTTTTTCTTAGGTCTTGAGGTTCAGCAACAAAAACCAGGTATCTTAATTTGTCAAAGTAAATATATTGCTGACATGCTTGTTAAGTACTCTCTCAGCGACTGCAAACCAGCTTCTACTCTGGTGTCCAAGACTGATAAGCTACACATTGATCCCACCGGCACTGATGTTAATCACTCTCTTTATCGAGGAATAATTGGATCTCTTCTCTACCTCACTACAATTCGCCCTGATATCATGTTTGGAACCATTCTCTGTGCTAGATTCCAAGCTAATCCCAAGGAGTCTCATCTCATTGTAGTTAAACGCATCTTTCGTGACTCAGCACTTGAACTCTTTGGATACACTTATTCCGACTATGCAGGATGCAACTTAGACAAGAAGAGCACGTCAGGTGGATGTCATTTCCTTGGAAATCGACTAATCAGTTGGTCTAGCAAGAAGAAAACCTCAGTAGCTATCTCCACTGCAAAAGCTGAGTATGTTGCAGCTGGGAGATATTGTGCTCAACTCTTATGGATTCAGAATCAACTTTTAGACTATGGGCTTAAATTCACAAAGACTCCTATATATTGTGATAACACTAGTTCCATTCAGATCACACAGAATCCTGTTCAACACTCAAAGATAAAGCATATCAAGATCAAACATCACTTCCTCAGAGATAATGTTGAGAAGGGCAAGGTTGTTCTAAAACATGTCAAGACTTCCGATCAACTAGCTGATATTTTCACCAAGGCCCTGGATACTCAAACTAATGCTCACATTATTGGAGAACTTGGAATGATCACTTTGGATTGAAAATGTTTTACTAATGTTTACTATTGTCTTATAAACTAATGTACTTTTTTGTTGATGATGATGTGTTGATGATGTTTACCATGTTGAGTACATTGTATGATCTCTTCTCTCTATCTCTTCTACAAATCTTCTAAACTAAAGTTGAATGATTCACTGTATTAAACCATACACTGATAACAACTTGAAACTCTTTGCCAATGGTTAGACAAAACACCAAGATCTATCACACGTAGCTATCCCTTCTTACCAATCTTACATTGATTCTGTGATTGAGTGTGACAAAACACATGCTGATGAGAGTGTAACAGTCTTTGCCGATGGTTAGACCAAAACACCAAGGTCTATCACACGCAACTATCCCTTCTTACCAATCTTACACTGATTCTGTGATTCAGTGTGACAAAACACATGTTGATGAGAGTCTAACAGTCTTTGCCGATGGTTAGACAAAAACACCAAGGTCTATCACACGCAACAATCCTCTCTTCACCTTCTTCTCACTCAGTGTCTAATGATTTAGTAAGAAGCACCACTCACTGATAAAGACTCTACACTCTGTGCCGATGGTTAGATAATTAAACCAATATCTATCACACGCACCAACCACCTTGCTAACCTTAAACAAGCAAGTTGTACCTTGAATTGACGATAGACTATCTTTCAGCATGTAATTTTTCGTGACACTGATCTTAGCGCTTCCACAGACATTGGTTGTCGTTTCCTCTTCAGTACAACGACTCTTTTTACCCAACGGCTAATTTTTTTGATTTGACAGTTTGTTAAGATACGCAGTTATTTTCGATAAAGATAATCATTACCTTTTTTTTTTAAAAACTGTTTAATCCCATATTTAACCTTTTTCCCACCTCTCTCCCAAACCTTCCTCCCATCATTCAAACTTCCTTCTCTCTCCTCAAAACCCTAGAATCCAAACTCTCTTCAATGGCGGCATCACTGTTTACTTTCTCCTCCACTTCAAGAAGAGTCATCCCAGCTCCAAACTCTCCTCCTCTTTCCATATACATCAAAGCCACAAATGTCGTTTTCAACCCTGATATACCAGATGTTCATCGCGGTCTAGGACTTGATGATTTTGTCAATTTTTTAGTATCCTGCAGACTTCGATATGCTATCAGTGAGGTTCCATCAGAGTTCTTTCCCGAAAAAGTATGTGAGTTCTACTACACCGCAACGGTTAATAATGAAAACAACATCATCTGCGGCACTATTGGGCGTGGTCGTCGCTCAGTTTTCATCACCTCTGATCTCCTCAGTGCTGCACTCTGGTTACCGATTTTTGAACCCTTCTATGAACTTCCAACTATTGAACGTTGTCGACGCCTCTTTGATCAACTGGGCTATGATCACTCGAAGGCTGGTGCTTGATCAGCTCTCATTCTGCGTCAATGTATGACTCCAGGATGGAAGTTCTTCAGCGGGGCACTTTGAAAATGTGTGGGTCACAAATCTCGTAGTGGTGATCAACTGAGTACTCATGAGCAACAAGTTGTCTGTTCCCTTCTTCTCAACAAACGTCTTGATTATGGGGCCTTCTTCTTTGATCAGCTTGTCCAACTTCTTCGTGCCAATGTACGAGCTGATCATGTTCCATTTCCACGCTGGATTGCTCTTGTCCTGGATAAATTTTTCGTTGAAGCCTACTACTTCCACTCTGGAAACCCCATCCAATGCCCACGCATGTCAGTACGAATGTATCAGGATGATCCACTGGCAAATGACATCAGCATCTCTGATCGGATGCGAGAATGGATCGCAAATCCATATATTGTTCCTTCACTAAACGCTGACACTGACGAAGGAGCTGATGATAACAACGAAATTCATGCTGATCTACAAGCTGAAATGCAAGATGGTAGTCATATCTCCCCTCAACTTTCTCATCATACTATTTCTGTCACTGAAAGGGTTCACTCAGCTCAGGGGGAGCAACAATCTCAGGGGAAGCAACCATCTCAGGGGGAGCAACCCTCTCCGGGGGAGCAGCATCGATCACAAGAAATTCTAGGTACTTAGCTCTATCAAATCCCGACCTTAGCGTTTAATGAGCTTCTTACATTGACTCGAGACATGAGTCAGCGTCTTCTACGTATTGAGGCTGATGTCAACCAACTGAAGGGAGTTCTTCTGTCAACTCCTTCCCTTGGCCCAAACCATGATGATGATCAAAAAGGGGGAGAAACTGATTATCTTGAGCTTGGATCTGAAGAGAACATTTTAAACCAGACCGAGCCACCACAGCTTGTGTACGAGTCTGATAAACTAGCAGAAACTGAAAAGCCTACTGACGAGTCTGATAGACCACCAGAGACTGAAAAGCCTCCTAAAGAATGTGAAAATGATGATGAAGATGAACATGATGATGAGTGTCAGATGCTGGACATGAACTTCATTGATCCCACTGTGCCAGCTCAAGGAGAAGACTCAGATGATGATGAAGATGAACATGATCATGAGTGTCAGATGCTAGACATGAACTTCATTGATCCCACTGTGACAGTTCAAGGAGAAGACTCAAATGTAGTTAGCGAGGATCTTCAACCTTTATCTCGCAAGCGCAAGGCAGCAAATACTGAATTTTCTGGTTAACATACTAACACTTCTCTTCCCAGCAAGAAATCTAAGTCCATTGTCAGCATATCCAATTTGGCAGTTGAATGGAACATGTCTCCTGATCAAGTTAAGCAAATCCTTGATGAAGCCAATAAAGCTCAGCTTCTAAAGAATATTGCTCAAGCTGATGAATCCCTCATTCAGCACAAGCTTCAGGCCAAAGGATCCTTTGAAGCTTAGATGCAAAGGTTTTGAGAATATCAGTCCAAATCTAAATCTTCACAGCCTCCTCCCAGTAGCAGTAAGTCAAGGACTGATAGTGTTCTTGACAGGATTGATCGCAAGAGGTTTCAAGATGTTCTTAAACGAAGGGTGAGCAATGATAAGATCATCAAATTTAAAGCCTCAAAACCTCGTAACGAGAAAATTCTTACTTTGCTGATCACTCGTCAAGGTCCTCAACATCCGTACACTGAACTTGTCAAGAGAGACGAGCTGATTAGATACGGATACTCTGAATGGATGGAATTGCTCGAATTAGCATCCAAGCAAACTTCAGCTCTTTCTTTAGAACTGACCTGTGCTCTTCACTTACTGATCAAGAAAGTTCAACGTCTTGATCTTGTTCCTACACAGCATCCTCAGCAGCAAGGCCCAAGTTCCTCAGTTCCAAGAATTAGAAGAACTAGATTTCAAGTTGATAGACAAGATGTATTGGTTCTAAATTTTGGTGCTAAAGGAATAACCAACTCTCTTCATATCGGTGTTGAGCCGATTCAATATAAGTTCATCTCTATTCCTGAACATGGAATGTTTTATCTTGATAAGAACAGGAAAATGTGTTTTCATCATACTACAGAAATTCCAAGGGCTCCAACAGAACATCTTGTTGGTTTAAGATAAATGTGCATGAGTCATCAAGATCTCTCTGGAGAGTTTCACATACTGATTGCTATGGAGTTACTGAATAGATGACAGGAGCTGCTGGATAGTCCTTACTGGCCAGTGAAAGTAGAAGTCCAGAGGTGTTCTAGTCTAGCTGGTTTTGAACATCATCATATTGGGGGAGATTGTAAGGTCGAACCTTATAATATGATGATGTTTGAAACTGGTCACTCAGCGTCAGCACATAACCCAGCATCAGCATACCAGTTGTTCAGTGTATAGTTTTATATTCAACATTTTGTAAAAGATTTAGTACTTATCTTGTTTCCATAGTTATCGTCTATTAGTTAGCTGGTATATCCCTGATTTGTAGGGATTGCCTAGATTAATTCTATATAGTCTTTTTGTACAAGTTTGTAAGAGATCATCTTTCACAAACCCTAATAGCCGCTTTGTGCATTCGATAATCTCTTTCTGAGATTATTATTCTTAGTGAAAGTTCTTTGTGAAACTTTGTTGTTCTTGTTGATAGTCATTATTTGATAAATTGTTTGATCTAAGGTCCTCTCAAGGCGGTTCCTGAGGAATATTTGTATGCTTTCCAAATTTCGGTTCGATGTCAGGTCAGGCTCGTTGAACGTTTATATATCTATGATTAGGCAATTATGCTCATGTTAAGTTAATTAGTAGTTATGCTCATATGTATGTCGAGCTTTGCTTGATGCGGGACGAGGCCCGATGCCGAACAAGGTTGATGCGGGGTAGTGACCGATGTAGCAGGGTGGGGCCCAATGTATGCTATATGTGTTTATGTGTATGGTATGTGATAGTTTAGGGAGACTCACTAAGGTTCATGCTTACAGTTTTCAGTTTTGGTTTCAGGTACTTCTGCTAGTAAGGGGAAGACCTCAGGATGACTACATTGTATGCACCACAACTTTTAGCCTGGGAGGATTTACTCTGATATTATACATGTGATTTTGATACAACATTTTCATATGATGTTTTGAGATACTATTACTTATGTTTTTATGATATGTTTTTGGGTTACCATACTATTATTTATAAAGGAAAATGAAATTTTTGGATCGTATTTTTGGGATGTTTCCTACATTTTTGGACTCTTAGTCAAAATCCAGATTTTAAGGTATTTCTTACTAAAATTAAATGATTTAATTAGTTAACTTTCAAAATTTTCATCAAAACGACTGATAAATAATCAGTTATATATTTACACAATACTTATTGATTTACATTTGATCGTTTCTGTGTGTGTGTGTGTGTGTATATATATATATATATATAGAGAGAGAGAGAGAGAGAAAAAGAGAGAGAGAGAAAGAGTGAGAAAGAAAGAAAAACAAAGAGAGAGTAGAAGGATCATTAGAAAATGCATATTTCAGCAACCTATAGTAGAACGAATTATGAAATGACACCTGTTAATTTATTCATTAATGGTAAAGTTACAAGGACGGTCCATATGGATTACTTAAAATTACATAATTGATCCCTGATATTTATAAATGATAATTTTTTTGAATTAACCCAACATACATCTCAACCCCACCGATGCTGAAACTAGTATCAATTATTTTCTCGTCATAATCAGTATAGCACCTGATCTTAGTCGTCGGAACATCCAGCCTCCAGTGTCGTAACCACCAGCCTCCGTTTTCGTAACCATAACCTTCGCTATCATAACTATCAGCATCCGCGGTAGGAACCAACTACGAAAAAGAAACCAACATTTTTTCAGCGAACAGGAAACCCTTAAATCTACGTGAAACCACCATCGTTTTTTAGGCGCCGCTTTAAGAAAACGTTAGATCTACTATTGAAAATCAATTTTCGGCACCATAGAAAACCCTAGCAATGCAAAACCACTGACGCACCGACTTTAAAGCTAGAAATCTTCAATGCCTCCAACAAACTACTTCATTTCTCACTGTGGCTAGGGTTCCGGTTCGAAGCCTCGGACCAAACCACCATCATGTTCATGATTCTCTCCACCACCGGCTTGCTTTGTGTAGATCTATTATCAAAGACCAAAATGAGTTCGACGACCAGAACAACAGATCTAAAGCGATATAGATGACATGAACCGGAGATCCTAAGATGCAACTTTTCGACAACTGTTTTTTCTTCAGGAAGGGAGAGAGATGGATTGAGGTTGTAGATGCAGAGGAGAGACAGAGGGACTATTCGAAATTTATAATGGTGTTCTAGTGGCTCTAATGGTTCCAACAGTACCAGGTGGTGGTTATACGACTTTGTTTGGTGGCTCCAGAGGCTACAGTGGCATCTTCTGGTGGTTCTGGCACGACGACGTTAGATGGCTCCGATGATTGCGTACGGCGGAATGATATTAAATAATTAGGAGAGAAGAAAAGGGTTATAGATTTTGAAAGTAATATTAAATGTTATGGATCAAATATACAATTTACTCTAAAAGGGCATATGTCATTTTTTATTGGATGTCACAAATTAACCTTAATTGTGTGTTTTATATATATATATATATATATATATATATATATATATATATATATATATATATATATATATATATATATATATATATAATTTTTATATTGTTTATTTTGTGTTCACAAATTTCTAAAAGCGTATTATATTTATTATTTTTGGATTTCCTTTTACATGTATTTTATTATAAGGTGTGGTTTTAATTTTATTTTCTGTTTTCACATTGAGTTATTCCAAACTAATCTTTATTTTATGTTCTATGTATTTAACTATGGTAAAAAAAATCCAAGTTAATTTTTAGTGAAAACAAAAATAAAACCGGAGACATAGAGTCAAATACATTATGAAACCGACTAAAAAGTGATGTCGGCATGTATAAAGCAAATATAAATTTTAAAATATGCATATGATGGGCTCGTTTTGTCTCGTTGGGTATATATGCCCTGATTAATTTTCTTGTATTTTAATTGTTTATTTGTCCTCTTATTTAGATTGGTCAAAAGTTCAGGTAATAATGTTATATTTTTAGATATTTAAAAAGAAGTTTTATTAAATTGAGTGATTTTCTTGTATTTTAATTCAAAGTTTTTTGCGAGATATTGTAAGTACGAAAGTTGGAATTGTGAGCTATGATAATCTATTGTTTTGTCTATTTTAAGTTTTAACAAGTAAATTGTTGGTTTATTACTCTGTTTGAAAATAAAAAAATTAATAGTTTTACGAAGGTCTATTTAGATAAAAGTCTTCAAATTTTTTAAATTTTATTGGTTTTGACCATATAATGATTTTAGATGGGGTGATATCTAATATTTTTGGAAAACGTCTTTAAGTGTTTTTAGGTGAGATCATGAGATTTTATGAGACAACAAGAATGTGATAACTCAATTATATATAAATATATATTAAATTATATTATATCGTTATAATAAAATGATTAGTTTTTAAGGATTAATGAGTTAATTAGTAGAGAATTATGAGGTTTAATGTCCAAACTCGTTTCCTTTATTGTGGAAATAAATTAGAGCATTTGAAAGGTTTATAACCTCCAAGGCCTTAAGCATTATAAAGAGCTCAAAAAATCGATTAGAAACCCC